TAACATCGTTTCTTTACAAAAGTTAACTTTTCTTCTAATAATATTATCAATTTTAAGGCACAATTGTTCAAACTGTTAGGAACCACAGAACAACATGTTGTCACCATTTCGTGGCATTATTTATTATTACGTTAATTTAATTTTAATTTAATTAAATTAACTTAATTTAATTTAATTTTTTAAATTAATTTTTCTATGTAATTTAATTAATTATTATTTAATTTAATTTTTCTATGTAACTTGATGTATAGTGTTGTACCTTTTATCGTCTGCTGTATAGCTTTTCCTATTTCGTGTGTGCATGTTTTATATCAGTTTATTAAAAAGGGCTTTGCTCGTAAGTTTCAATAAATAAAGAGAAGTTCTGGTGACTTAATCCAAGATTTCCTTCGTCTTAATACTCGTGTATAATTCTCAGATATAATCCTCGCAAATTTGCCAATAATTTGTTTTTTGGTTACAGTCTAAGAATTTTCCCTTAATTTTCTGGTAATAAACGGAGTACTGGAGCAACACTAAGATCCATCGAGCTGAAAGGGTAGTTTACACGCGATTTCTTATTTGTACCATTTTGGAAATATCGTCGACTTTATGGCAGATAGTCTTCGAATTATTATTTTCCTGTAACGAAAAAATCGCTGAGTGCAAAGGGTTAAATCGGCATTCTGCTCTGTTATCAACACCCCACTGACTCCAGCTGTATCCTGCCAAATATTTCAATTCACCGTTCCATAAGTCGAAACTCTGGTGCTCGAAGACTCGACTGACTTTTGGACGCAGCCATGGTTACTATTCGAAGCAGTCGTGCTTACCATACCTGTCATACCTGGCACAATAGAATCGGTGACCGCAGCGTTACGTAAGTGGATGCTAGGGAAAAAATGTGGAGGCTCGGTGGGCAACAAATCCACCAGCTCTCCGCGATCCACCTCGCGCCGAATCCGCGCTATAGCACGCTGCGGCCGTGCAGAACGCATCGGGCTGCAGCCCGCAGTTCTGCGGTCCACGTGGCGCGGAACGATGCGGCAGCTCGAAACGGATCGAGCGGACCGATTACCGATCGTGCCACCGTCACCGAGCCAGCGAATTTTACCCTCGCGTTGAATCGATTACCCATATTTTTTTCCCCCTTTTACCGTGCAACTCGCGAAGAAATTCGAGATATTCCGAGGCCAATCGACCTGCAAATCCTGCGTTCGCCACTGAACTATGCTACATCGCGATTTTTGTTCTCTTTTTATTTTTCAGTGGAGAGTGAAATAATAAAAATCGTGATCTTTGATAATGTTAATTTTGCGAGTATCGATGTTGATAGTAGAGACTGTGCTGCTATGAAGTGGATCAATTCTATTTTTCATGCTTCCAGGAGTTAAATTCGCAAATATCGAATACTATCGACAAAAAGATGGCGTCTTCCTATAAAATAAATCCTCAGTTTTTCATATAGCTAGAAAATTATATACTATAATCATTTTCGAAATTTTATTTATTATAACTCTCCTATCCACTCTCCTTTAAATGTATAATAGTGAGATAATATTTTTGACAGCTTCTACGAATTAAATTCGCAAATATCGAATATTATCGATGAGAAAATGGCGTCTTCCTACATAATAAATCCTCAATTTTTCATACAGGTAGAAAATTATATGCTATAATCATTTTCGAAATTTTATTTATTACAACTCTTCTATGCACTCTCCTATAAATATAACAGTGGGATAATATTTTTGACAGCTTCTACGAATTAAATTCGCAAATATCGAGTATTATCGATGAGAAAATGGCGTCTTCCTGCGAAATAAATCCCCAATTTTTCACATAATCAGAAATCATAATAGAAAATTATATACTATAATCATTTTCGAAATTTTATTTATTATAATTCTTCTATCCACTCTCCTATAAATATATAATAGTGAGATAATATTTTTGACGGCTTCCACGAATTAAATTCGCAAATGTCGAATACTATAGTCGAGAAAATAATAGCGTCTGCCTACAAAATAAGGTCCTAATTTTTCACATAACTAAAACATTATATCCCAAAGCTATAAACGTTATTTTACATCATACAATAATTTACAATATTTAATATTCTTCGAAAAAAAAAAACGTTTTCAAATATATTTATTATAGCAAGAAACAAGGGGGGTATCTACAATTTTCCAACCAATTCTCTTATCCAACAATTCTTGCCTGCTCTATTCTCAGTTCGCAGGAAACATTCCACTGCATCACCCGTTCCCAAACTTCGAGACACTGCTATTCGCCATAACCCAGAGCTCTCTCGAATTAAAGCCGACATTCGTCCGAAATTCCGGCGTTTAACCCTCGTTTTACGCCATTTTTATACCCCCTCGTCTAATATCCAAATTTCGAAACATCGCCGATAAATACCCCAACGAAGATGGCGGAATAATAAAAACGGGGTCGTTGATCCGTTTCATTTTTCGCTTTACGACCCTCCGCCCTCTGTTCGCGGGGGGTGGCCGGGACAGCCTCGCACGAATGCCAGACCGTGTCACCTTTTCTTCAAGCGATCGGATACATTACTTTTGCATTCCTTCCTTCAGGTTTCGCCGAGAAAAATCCACCAGACCCGGCTGCCGAGTTTTCGAGTTCGCTTCTAAAGTTTCGACGGGAACGTACAATGGTTTGGTAGATGGTAGGGGTAGAAGCTGCTTATGTATCCGAGTTGCAGATTCCACGATATTTCAAGAGATACACCATCGCGTTTCCGCCCGCCTAACTAAGAGAGATTTACGAGATCCAACGGGAAAATTGCACCCGGGATCCGAAATCGCGTAATCGTTCGCCTTATGATTGATATAAATCCCTTGAAAGTTGCGCAGGGGTAATTGTTGACGCTGCAACTACAGTGAGTAACTGAATTTGTTATACATATGTGGGTGTTTATAATCGTGGCGTTAGGGCGAAAATTGATGGTTTCGTAGATTCAGAATTAATTCTGGTAAAAGTGATATTAGTTTTGGTTTGGGAAATTGCGAAAATGAAATTTCTGTAATGAGTTATTTTTGTACTCTTGGTAGTTGTAGTGTCGAGTTGATGTTGAATTTAGGGTCCTTTATTCTGTATTGCGAGTATCTTTTATTGTAAAATTAAACATTGAGATAACTTATAGCATGCGTGTGAGTGTTTATGAAGTTTTATTTGATAGTTGGTCCCTTAATAGAAAATTTTATTAATTATCTCTGTGAAAGTTGTCCAAGAAAAATTTTATTTTTAATTGAGTAGATTTAACACTCCTAAATTTATTTCAATTGAGTCAATTAAAATTCCAAAATATATTTTTAATTAAGTCAATTTAAAATTCCAAAATATATTTTTATTTGAGTCGAATTAAAATCCCGAAATTTATTTTTAATCGAGTCATCTTAATAATACAAAATTTATTTTTCTCGAGTCGATTTATGATTGCAAAATTTATTTTTATCGTGTCGATTTCAGACTATTTACCACACTGTTCACCCTGTTCAGTGTTAAATTGATAAATTATGACAAATATTTTAATTTTTCTCCAGAAATGTATTCGCATACATTTCATAAATTTCGCGAAATTACGAAAAAATTTTCTCATCGCCCACGTAACATTTGGCTGAAAATGAGGCGACGCGAATGAGTTAATAGAAACGTAATGTCGCGTTAGGGAGATTTATGGCTGGATAAATTGTTGCCGGGAGGTATTAGTATTCCAGGTGACGAGTTCACTCGTGTTTCTTGCTGCGCTTATTTTCGAGCTACGGCGCGAGTGGACCAAATAACGGGTATCGATTAAAAAGTTTTAAATTCTCTCATTCGTCAAGAAGCGTTGTTGTAAAAGAAATACTGCCTTCGTGCTTGCTCGGATAAAATTAATTTGAGAGATAGGGGACTGACACGAAAGAAGATTGAATCGCGTATCTCCTCGAACCTGCTGCATACCAATGTCCACCAGAGATTAATCACTGATACCGGCATACACGTATAACTGAACACTTATCAAACGCAGATAATTTTGCTTTGCTTAAATACAGAAAATTCGTCTGTGAATACACTGAAACGCAACGAGTAATACAGTAGGCAAAATTCACTGCATTAATTCTAAAAAGAAACCTCAATTTTGTTTCAAATATTTCAATAAAATTCATTCAAATTAAATTATTATCAAGAAGAAAATAAAGAAAATAATTAATAAATAACAATTACCAAAAAGTACAATTATACCAATTATTCTTGGTAAAATTAACGTTGTCTTTATTTTAATTATTTTACACTATTATCAAAAAAAAAGAAAAAAAATAAGGAAAAATAATATTAATTTTAATAAAAAGATTACCAGATCAATGAGAATGAGTGGTTTCAGGTTTTCCTATTCCCAATTAATAAAATGTGCAACTGTTTTTGGACAAAACTAAGTTAGTATAATATACTAATTAGTATAGATTCAGTATAGGTAATTTAATATAGACAGTAACTTCTTGTCTTTATTTTAATTATTTTACACTATTATCAAAAATTTAAAAAAAAAAGAAATATAATATTAATTTTAATAACAAAATTACCAGATCAATGAGAATGACTGGTTTCAGGTTTTCCTATTCTCAATTAATAAAAATGTGCAACTGTTTTTGGACAAAACTAAATTAGTATAGTATACTAATTAGTATAGATTCAGTTTAGGTAATTTAACATAGCCAGCAGCTTCTTTTACTATACGTACCCTACATTTAAGTACAGCAAGGTATAGTGAAACAAGTATATTTTTGGTAAAAAATAAATAAATAAATATATTCGAGGGGAGAAAATCTATGGGCGTATTGATTGGTATAGAACGGCCATAAATCAAGGGGTAACGTGTTCTAGGTCTAATTGCAAGCGTTTATTCAAGGCGCATCGTTGCACTCAATCGAACAACGTTCTCCCTGTTTCAGTGCTAGAACTGAAGGGTCCGGAGAGCACGAAGGCGAGAAGAAATGAGTTGGACGTGACACAATGACATGATGAAGAGCCTGGTGGGGATCATGTGGATAGTGTTGGTGCTCATATCAGGTAAGTTCAATAAATCTATCCAACAATAAGGTATACGCGTTTCGCCGTTCGCGGCTATTATATCATAGAGGAAAGTCAAGATGGACGTTGACGTTCAGCCACAGTTTATGGACCCCCGTCGAACCATAGAAATAGGGGAAGCCATAAATAATTCAGTGTCTCGAAGTTCACCGTTTCTCTATTGAAATACTAGGAGACGCATCGTTTGTCTGAAATGCATGCCATTTCGCTCGCCTATGATATAAAGTAGAAAAAGAATTTACCGGTGCATTGAAAAATAAAAATTTCCAAAACAGCAATGCACGTTCTAACGTTAAAAAATTCGAGGTTTAAAATATTTACATGCAAATTCAAATATTTCAGGTTTGCAAAATCGCAGGGCAAATTTAAATACTAAAAATCAAAAAGCAAAATTTCAATAATTCAATTGCATACTCGTGCATTTAAAATTCGAAAAATTGAAATGCAAATGGAACCTGAAAATTTCGAAATTTCTTAAATTGAAATGCAAATTCAAACATTAAAAGTTTTAAAATTTAAATAATTTATTGCACATTAAAAATTCTTAAATCAGAAAGATTTAAACACGAATTCAAATATTCGTAATTTGAAGAATTCAAAAAATTTTAAGGCAAATTCAAACATTAAAAATTTCAATAATTTAATTGCACACTCGTACACTAAAAATTCCTACATTACAAAAATTTAAATACGAATTCGAGCATTCGAAATTTCAAAATTTCTCAAAAATTTTAACACAAATTTAAATATTCGATAGTCGACTAAGGGCAGCTAAGAAATTTTACTTTTTAAAAATTTATTGTATTAAAATAGTAGTTGTCTAAAAGTGGGTAAAAAGTATAAATCAAAAACTCGAAATTTCGAAATTCAAAAATTCCGATTCATCACGTTCGATTCGCCATAAGAACTCGCATACTTCTACGGAATAAATGCGCTCGCCATCCTATTGTAAAGTGCAGAGCCGCCGGGGCGCGAAGCCTATCATCTCTAGACAATAAACCACCAAATATAACCGGCGACGAATAACTATCGTATAAGATACGACGTCTGCTGCATATGCATCAGCCCTACTCACTTGGCTCCCATTCGCATGTAAATGCTCCGCAACGCGCTCACAATGGCGGTTATCAACGTCCAGCTCTTTTTCCACCGATGGTTAAACGAACGGTTTCGACCGGCCCGCGGCGAAATACGTAAACGCGAGTTCCGTTGGCCGAGAAGAATCCGCGTGACGCGTTTCCGACGTCGCGTGCACCTTACCAGATCCGACGAGCACGTGTGCAAAATTTATGCCCGTCCCGGACTGGCCGATTCGACTCGTCTGAATGAAGTTTTCGGGTCGACTGTTTCTTCGCGGCGTCCGCGTTATAAATAGAGAAGCATCCGCGGTGGAACTGGGACAGGCCGTAACTTCGAAACGACCCCAGACACGGGGGAAAAAAAGGAAAAAGTTACGGGGCGAATTAAGCGGCGTTACGGCCGGTTCGAAGTTTCCGCGGTGCTCGGTCGGCGTGGCGCGCATGCGCAGAGGTGCGTTAGTGGCCGCCCGTATGGATCCTGATACGCGCGCTTAATATGCGGTTCGTGTTGAACCAGTATTGTAATGCGGCGGTGGTACAGGTGTTCGACCGGTGTTCCGTTTGCGGCAATTGATGCCCTGTTCATGATTGTCCACGGATATTTCGCGTAATTTAGTTTGCTCGAAAAGAGAAAGAATTGAAAAGCGGTCGTTTCTAATAGCAGAGATACAGGGGAACATTGAACATATATATACGGAATTTATTTTGAGAGGTTATATAAATTACGGAGTAGTTATACCGTGTGTGGATTTATTATCGTACATTAGGGGACAATCTCGGTCTGTCTTTCTGAACAATCACACTCTCGTTCCACTTGTCTGTATAAGCACGGCGTGCCCGTGCAAACACCGTCTCATTCTACTTATCCCGTTTGCTGCGACGTACGCTACTCTTCCGACCACGCGTTGACTCGTACTACTTATCGAAGTAGATGCGGCCTTTCCATAATTATTTGCCTAACGAATTAGTCACCGATTTTGATGAAATTTGGCACAAACGTCGAGTAGACAAAGACATTCGATCTGTATTCTTTTCATCTGCTATTGACCACGTTGAAGGGGTGAAAACGGACTTCAAAGGGGTCTGTAAGGGTTAGTTATACCTGGTCGAATATCTCGCGAACTATCGGAGGTAGACTAATGATGTAAATTTATGAATTTCCTATTTTTTAATAACGAATTTGACTACGTAAACGGATTTGCGAAAAATCTAAATAAATAATACGTTTAAAAAATAACATTTTTAGTTAAATTCTTCGGTCAAATATTTACACGTTTCTTTGTATGTGTAGTCTATAATCATGAAACTTGACACGAATAACTCATGTCGAATTAAACTCGTCACTCCACTGCAAAGAGTGAACCAAATTGAATGGAAAAATAAACTAAAATAAATTGCCATTTCGTACAATAACAACAAAATCCCTATCGAATACTTCGAAGCTCAATAAAAAAAATAAAAAGAAAAAAAACAAACTTAAAACTCACACATACACACAGAGCAGGAACACACTAACCTTTATCGAACTACGGGCACAAAACGTAGAAAGCCACTTGACCGTAGCATATCGGTAACTCGGCTCGTTTTCCTTTGTCTCGTATCGACCTCGTCGGGGACTCCCCGTTCCCTCGTTGAAAAATCTCGGCTGGAAAAGTTGCCGGCGCTTTTTCCCTGGAAATAAACAGCCGGATAAGTGGATACTCGTGCCGCGAGTAGAGTGTCTTTTAAACGTCCGCGGCGCGGGCCTCGATATTTCTCGATATTTCTCGATATGTCCGGCTCATCGAGCAATCCCGTCTCGCGCGAGGCGCAATATCGCGCCGGTAATATAGCGCTCGTTCTTATTGGCCCTGTCCAGGCAGCAACGATTTCACGGACGTCGACTCGACGACCGACGCCGGTCCTTTCTTCCTTCTCTTTTCCCGGGGTCTTAGCATGCCCCCGCGATCGTGACGATTGAGCCCGATCCCGGGAATGAACGTACGGCTCCATCGCGGATAATCGTGCAACAGAGATTACAAATACGAAGCCCTACCTCGTCTCGCGACCTAAATTTCTCCAACAGGTATCGATCTCGGTTTGGTCGTGGTTCGAGGATCTCCAAGAGTGGTCGAAGTCGTTCCAAGATGAAAACGACCATCAACTCTGGTATCTATCGAGATGATCTGATTTTGGGATGCTGCTCTGGAACTTTTTGAAAATTGTCCGAGGAGAAATCGAAGAAATATTTTTTATTATCGAAGGTTTAATTGTTATCAGTATTTGTGGGGTATTTAGGCTTTCAAGACGTACTTGTGATACTGAAAATGTGTTATGGGATTTTGGTAAAATCGTAGCAAGTGTAATATATATATATGGCAAGTGATAGACTGCTTTCTTTAAATTTTTCCTTGTACCAAATTAAATAAGACACTGTGTATATACTGGTCTCCAATCATAAGAGAGAACTTATCTATTATACTATCGATAAAATTAGTGTATCGTATCCTTAGAATTAATTTGGAAAAATTTTGTAGAAGTTAGATAAGTATATCTAGAGCAGCGGTTCTCAACCAGGGTTTCATGGAAGATTGTTATAAGGTTTCCACGAAAGTACGAAGCAACTAGGTTATTATTTTTGTTGCTAAATTTAGCGTTCCACAAAATTTTCTATTTGCCAGAGAAGCTGAAGAACATTATAAATCTTTATTTCTAAATTAGGAGTAACAATGTTCATTAGCTTCTCTGGTGAATAGAAAATTAAATAGGAACATTTTTCCAATTTAACTCTTTGCACTCAGTGATTCTCTGTGAACTCTGCAGAAATATATCAGTTCAAAAATTTTCTGCTATTGTACAAAGTGAACGATATTTTTCAAAACACGTAATAAGAAATCGTACGTAAATAACGCATAGAATTATTCCTAATTTGTCGCTCCTCGAGAACAAATTTATTTTAAAAAATTTATTTAAGAAGTTAGATTTCAAGCAGTTGCTCATAAAAGCTTTTATAAATCGGATAACAAGGTGGATATTTATCTTGACAAAATGCACGAACAGAATTGGGGACCATAATCACCGGACCAAAGCAGGATACCTTTTCAGGGTACCCTTGTCAGACAGCTTTCTGAAAAGGCTGGAACGAGGAGGACCACGAGAGAGATACCAGTAATCGGTTTCGCCTAACAGAGCCTGTGTTCCAATTGGTCAAGTACCGAAGGCTTTGTGCTCACAGTCAAAATCTGTTCTAACGAGTCTTCTTTCCCCGCTGTGATCGTCAGAGAGGAAAAAAGCCACTGTCCGTCTGATTCCATTAACGCTCACGCCACGGTCAAAATCTCTCTCGGACAGAACGAATTTTTATACGTCGTCGAATTGTCGATAACAAACGCTTCTTTTCTCCGTTTCCACGTCGACCGTGTCTGGAAGACTATCGAATCCTCTATCGAATCGATAGGGGAAAAAAGGGTTTCCACTCGTTACCCTGTCGATGGGGTTAAAATTAGTCAAATCGCGTTACACTTTCGAATACTCCAACTATTATTCCAGTTTGGAATTCCTGGGGACTGCTAAACCTCTTTTGCGAGAATAGACTCTCTTTTCTAGGAAACAAATTAAAGTATTAAAATATTAGGTTACAATAATGGAATTTTTAATTTAAATAGTTATTAGGTATACAGGGTGTTCCATTTAGATAATTTCAGTTGACTTTGGTTAAAAGAGTATCTAAAGGGAGTTTAAATAATTGCAAGGGGTACACGTGATTATGGCGAGAACTTAAGTGGAACACCTTTTGTGAATTTCTAGAGACTATCAAACTTCTTTTGCAGTCTCTTTTCTAGGGAATAAATTAAAGTATTAAAATATTAGGTTACAATAAAGGAATTTTTAATTTAAATAATTATTAGGTATACAGAGTGT